TCCGGATATGGAATCTAGATTCTGCAACTCTTCTTCTAGTAATGCATCATCATATAGCTCCTATCAAGCAAATCATATTACCACCAGCCTGGACTGACAAACCATGGAGTGACTGTTTCCTTTCTGTTGGTGAAGATGGTTGTGTGGCTCTTGTTTCCCTTGCGACATTACGTGTTGAGAGGATGTTCCCTGGACATCCTAGTTATACATCAATGGTTGCCTGGGACAGCAGAAGAGGTTACTTGGCATGTCTTTGTAGAAGTATGCCAGCATCATCTGATTCTGTTGACATTTTATACCTGTGGGATATTAAAACAGGTGCTCGGGAAAGGATTATCCGTGGATCGGCTTCTCATTCAATGTTAGATCATTTTTGTAAGGGTATCAACTTAAACTTCATCAATGGAAGTATAATGAGAGGCAGTACTTCAGCATCACCATTGCTTCTTCCTGTTAGTGATGATTCTGGTTCCTCTCAATCCAGATCAACAAGAACTGATGTGGTCACAGTTGCAGTATCTGAAGTTCAAAAGCTGCAATCTGATAGGAAAAGTACAGATTTTTCAGAATCATATAGTTACTTAACAAATAACAATAAAGGAAAGTTACCTTCCATAAGCATGATTCATGATGCCAATTCTGATTCTGCTGTAAACAGCTTAGCAAAGCAGCTTGCTTTCCAGCATGTTCGTGAAAACAAGAAACATCCTATTATATGTTTTTGCCCTTTTCCTGGAATTGCTATCCTGGAATTTGACCTTTCCTCTTTGGTTTCCTTGAACTATCTTCAAAATAAAGACGAGCAAACAGTTTCTCAATCTTCTAATATTGCAAAGGAGCAATCTGTGAAAGATGAACCTGCAGATGATAGTGCTGTTGCTCAAGGGGATAGAAGTAATATTATGAAACCTGCGTTGGAAGGATATTTGCTTCGGTTCAGCTTATGCTTTCTTCACCTGTGGGATATTGATCTAGAATTAGACAAGCTTTTGAAGGAGGAAATGGATTTATGCAAACCAGATGGATTTGAAATAGCTGCTGGAATACTGGGGGATAGAGGTTCAATGACCTTGATGTTCCCTGGTCTATGTGGTAGCTTAGAGGTAATCTGTTTAGGATCAGATTTTGTATTTTATGCATTTTGAACCTTGAGGTTGAATCTTATTATTAATGTATTATCAGCTTTGGAAGTCCTC